AAAAAAAAAAAAAAAAAAAAGAACAATACGGAGAGGAGAAAATGTAATTGTCTCCTAAAAACCAATTTTTCAAAAAACTGACTTCAAAGAGTCTCAAAGAATAGCAACTTCACCAAGACCACTTCCCAATTTGGGAAGAAAAACGCTGCTATCTAGGTAACTTAAATTGGTTTGAATATCTCATGTTTATTTGTCAAATATCCAATGATATTGATCGGATAGAGAACTGGAGGTTTTCACCCCTGTCTGAGTCAAGAGACTCAGAGTCACCGAGCAGTATTTTTCAAATACAGAGATTCCAAGCCCTCCCGCAGACTTGGGACATGAAAATGGCAGGGACCAGGGTGCTTTCGTTCCCCGTGCTGGAGGGCAGGCAGCACAGTGCCCAATATGAAGGGGCTCAATACATATTTGCTGAAAGAACTTGGTATCATGCCTCCTTCTGGGGAATGCACAGGGAACCAAGGTCTGGGGTTTTAGGAAAACTTACTTTTTTGTGTCTTACTCTTTGCACTGTTTGAATTTTTACCATATTTATTTTTTAAAAAAGGGTTCATCTAAAAAGTAAATATTATTTATATGAAAATAGCTAAAATGATTTAAATCCTGTTAAGTCAAAATAATAATTATTCTGTTTTATTTATTTAAATATAATTACAAAAGCTTGCTCTGTAAGATAAAGCAAAGTGTATGTCTGTTGTCTTAGTAATATGTCTTAAGTGATATTGTAAAAGTGAAAGTAGTAATTGCAAATATTTAGTTAGCACTGATAAGTGCCAGGCAATATTTTAAGTGCTTTAAATATGTTAACTCACTTAATCCTCTTTTAACAGCTCTGTGTGAGGTAGGAATGATATCATCTCACTTTACGGATGAGGAAACTAAAGCACAGAGAGAAACTGAGGCAGCGTGGCCAAGGGCATTCAGCTGTAAGGTACCGGATGGAGCTATGGGACCAGGAGCTGGGAGTTTAGCCACTCCACCACACCGTCTCAACTAATACGTAGAATTGGAAACATGGCCAATCCTAATCCTCAACTGGTTTAATAAATAAATAGTCGCAAGAAATTGAAACAAATATTTGTTGAATGAATCAACTGAGAATCATCCCAGGGAAGCTGAGCCTGCCTCTTCCAAAAGAGAAATGGGTGGGGGGAGGGGGAGGGGAGGACACTCTCGGGACAGCCAGGCAGGGTCCTGGATGAGGGATCTGGGCCAGGGACAGGACAGGTGTCTGGTTTTCTGAGTCTGGTTTGCAGTTTCTGTCCCAGGGGGACCTCATAAGCTCACCTCAGTTATCTGCAGGAGCAGGGGTTGTGTCTATCTCTATCTCATCACCAGCACCTGGAGTATTGGCTGGTGCTTAGTAGGTGCTCAACAGATACTCAGCTGAATGCATGAAGTGCTCTCTCTACCCCCAGCCTGCTGCAGTAAGAATCTCGGCTGCCTTGTATGGGGCCATTCCGCTGCGCTGGCCCTGTGCCAGGAACTTGACAAGAGCCCTGTGAGGGTGGACCTGTCCTGACCCCCACTTTACCCAGGGTTGACGTTACAGGGGGCGCCTCTCGGGGCTCCTGAGCACCTGCATCAGCATCACTCACTCAGGCACCCATTGAAAGAAACAGCCACCCCCAGGGCCGTCGGGCCATGACTCAGCTGATATGCAGAGGCACTGAAAAGCCCTGGAAGACAGGCCACCGTGGGATCAGACAGGGTGAGTGGTGAGGGGGAACTTTCCCTTGCTCTGTCTGCCCGACTCTTTCACAGTGAAGAAAAGATGCATGTTTCACTTGTGCAATTAAAAAATATCAAAACAAAGCAAGAGACCCTTTACATTGCAAGAGGTCTGGAATCGCAAGGCAAATGATGCTGTTTTCTTTTTCTCCAAAAAATCAGCTTTTTAGGGACACACATTTGAGAGTGCTCCCCATACCAGTGAGCGGCGCACCCGTGGCGAGGCATTTGTGTGGGTTTTCTGGGGCGCCGTATGGGGGCGCGTGCCATTCTAACAACAGTGCTGGAGTTAGTCCCTGTCCAGAATCCCAGGATGAGAAACCTTGGGAGACAGAAAAGGAAGCCTACGGAACCTCTGCTCCAGGGGTGCCCAGACCTGGCCTCGCAGCTGGCGGGAATCACCCGGTTTCCTGCTGGACCCTCCAGCCACAGGGCCACCACCCACCCCCCGCCCGGCCCTGCCCTGCGGCCACGCACCTTGGATGGTCCTCTTGAAGAAGGCCTTGCAGGCCTCGCAGGAGGCCACGCCGTAGTGGTAGCCAGAGGCAATGTCCCCACACACGAGGCACAGGCGCTTGGGGATGGCGTTGAGCATGTACTCGCACTTGATGGCCGAGTCCTCCATGATGCCGCCGGCGCAGTCCTCGTAGCTCTTGCGGCAGGGGGTGCCCCCCAGCCCCGCGCCTGTGAACATGGGCGGCGAGTCCAGACCATTGGCGTGGGCGCCCAGGGCCAGGCCGAAGCCGCCGCTGGCGTCGGACGAGCCACTGGGGCTGTGGTGGCTGAGGGCGTCGATGCCCGAGGACGGGCTGGACGGCTCTGTCTTGATGAAGGACCCGCAGCTGGAGCTCAGGTGCCGGTCGTCCGCGGACATTCTGTTCAGCAGCCTGTGGACACAGAGCGCGGGAAGTCAGCTCCCAGGAGGGTGCGGTGGGTGTGACACTGTCCCAGGAATTAGCTTTGGGCTCCCGGCACCAAGTGGGTGGGGCGGCTGGGGAGGGGCTGAGCCTAGACTGAGGCGTTGATGAGATAAAATGCTGGCAGAGAAAGTCTTTTGGTCAAGAACCGGCTCAGCCCAGAGCAAGTTTCTGGTATGACCCCCCCAGAACCTTCTGAGTCCTCAAAGAAGAAGCTATGTTTGCTCAATAAACTTCAGATTAGGCTCCCAGCTCTCTGCAAATTGCTGGCTTGAGGGTGACAAAAAGTGGTAACAACTCAGCCAAAATACTTGGCCAATCTTCCCGCGCAACAGTAATACATGCTGGCTACAACTGAAAGTCCGGGTGTGCCAGGCCCTGGACCAAACACCCTCAGTACAATGACCTGATAACCCACTTCACCTGGCCCCACTGGGCCATCAGGTAAGCCCAAGCTCGGCGCTTCCCCTCCCACCGCGCCGTCATCACTGAGATTGGGCCCAGAGATGCTAAGGCACGTGGCAGGGCAAGAGGCAGTGCCTGTGGCGAAGGCCCCAGCCAAACTGGCTGCCCTGTGGGTTTTGCCTGTGGCGCAGGGCACATCTGGAGAGTGGCTCCAGGCCTGCTCTCTCATTTCCCTTCCTAGCTCCTGAGCCGGCGGCTTCTACCCAGCCCCTCCCCCTCTAAAAGACTGTGCCTCCATCAGGCAGCATGGGGGAGCCCTCCAACCCAACTCCGTGCCTCCCCCAGCTGCTTCTTCACTTTAAGTTTCAACCTCTAAGTCTCCCTGCCTCACCCATAAGTCGAGGGAGCATTACCAACATGGCAGGAGCACTATGAAAACTCACAAAATGTTTCCCGTAATGAAAGGCCCTCCCCCCAGAACCATGCTGGGTGGGTGAGAAGACAGGCAAGGTGTGACCCTCCCACATCCCAGTTCCCAGGACAGGGGGAGGGGCCGCTCTCCGCACGGGCAAAAGCTCATGCAAGATGAAGGTGTGGTTCAGAGCAGTCCAGCTGCAGCCTGTACTCAAGACCTCTGGAGCCAGCCAGGACCTGAGTCAGGAGGCCAGGTCGAGATCCTTCTGTCTCTGGCCTGGCTGGCTGTGTGGAGGTATAGAGACGGCCAAGGCTCATGCCTGAGGAGGAGGTGAAAGGAAAGAGGGAAAGGTCCTGGAGAATGAAAAGGGCTGGAGAGGCTGGCAGTACAGCCTCATTGGTAGAAAGATGGCTCCGCGTTGGGAGGGAGGGTCTCAATGCTGGAGGGCCTACTGGGAGAGCGGCCACGGTTCCACCTCCAGTGACGCCCAGAGGTAGCCCATGTTCTGTGAGCAGCCCACTGAGGAAAGGATGGGTCACCACCTGGGGAAGGGGCTGCCTTATCAACCCAAAAAGCCCACTCCCACAAAACCTTGGCCCACACCCACACCACCAAATGCAATCATATGATGGGGAGATGATGGAGAGGGGCCTCCAGGGTCCCTGGTCCCACTAATGATTTCCTAGTTAACACACCTCCCAAGGGGCTGCCCCATCCGTCTACATGAACACGTCCAGAGACAGGGAACTCATTACCCCACAGACAGTTCTAATCAGAAACTGAGAGCTGCTTCCGATAAAAATATAAAAGATACATATGAGGCTCCCACTCTCAAGATGTTTATTATCTACTGGAATGTAGTGTTTGAAGATAGAGGCTCCCAGTCTCTTCTGTTCCAACCTGAATGTTCCTCTCCTCAAGTTTCCCTCACGTCGGCAGAGGGCGCCCCTCTGGGTCTCCTCTGGGCCCTTTGATATCTCTGGTGGGTGCCCTGTCACCTCCCTGGGCTCTGCGTGGCCACCTGCCTCCTTCCATCCACCAGCGGGTCCCTGGTGTGTCCTCGGGAAACGCCATCAGCCTGGCAGGGCATACTCCAGACGAGGACTCTGCCTGCAGGCACAACTGGCCTCTGGGTCACCTCCCCCCACAGCAGGCAGGGAGCTGACCAGGGCTCTTTCATTTGTCAGCGCTTCCTGCTCGCTGCTTTAGGCTCTGCAGTTCACAGGGACATCCCCAGGCCCACTGTGACAAACCCTGCCGGGCAAGACAGCCCCCAGACCTCACTCCTCCATCCCCACCCCACCCTCCAGCTTGTGAGAGCTGCAGATTTCGGGAGATACGCTTGATGTAAACAGTAATTACAGCAACCACCATTTAGTGAGCATGCATTATGCGCCACGCTTCAGATCTGTCTGATGTACAAGAACCACGCGCCCTGAGGGAAGTAGACGGAGAGCCCACGGTTACTCCCAGTGGACAGCAAGCCACAATTTTCCCAACTGTCTTCCCTCCGCCTCACGGCTCAGCCAACCCTGAAGGACACCCAGGGCGGGCAGCGGTTTCGTCCCCTAAGCCTTGGTTTCCCCTCCTGCCCTCTTCTTGGCTCAGAATGGCACAAAACATCCTGTGGTGGGCTCTGCAGCCAAGACGCACCCTGCTGGACCCCACCTCCAGGCCCTAGTCAGAGACTCCAGGGCTGGGAAGGAAGCAAGCAAACTTGACCCTGACCCCAGTCAGAGTTTGCATGGAAAGCCGGCCACTCATTTAGTGCCTGAGTCCCAGCTTGTGAGGGTCTAACGATTTTATTCCTACAGCTGTCTCATGTCTGCGACCATCACTGTGGCCCCACTAGAATGTCTTTTCCAGGGAGAGTCAATACGTATTTCGGGCATCCACTACATGCTAATTGCTGGCCAGAGAACAGGACGTGACCAGCACAGCCCAGGATCTCAAGAAGCTCATCCTCTCACAGGAAGGACAGACACGTAACAAACACAAGTGTGCAAAGCGCCAGAGGGGGCCAGGGGGTACTGCGCTGAGGGGGCTCCCCTGCCCAGCCCGCTGGTCTTGCCTCATTCATCCATCGCTCACTCATTCATATTTGCAGACTGAAGGAACAGCCCGGGGGCACAGCTTCTTTTCTGTGTTGCAAGTTCCTTCCAGACTCTTCTGCCTGGGTTTTCACTCTCAGGGGCCGCCAGGCTGCCCCTCTGCTCCAGGGGCTGAGCCAGACTAATGGCCGTTCATCAAGCCCAGCATGTTGGACACCTTCTTTGGTACCATCGTAATTAATCCTCACAACCTGTCTGCCAGACACTATTGTCCCCACTTTACAGAAGAGAAGAGCTGGAGCTCGGAGCTTGTCCCCGGCCACCTGAGTGGTAGGACACGCTGGGCTCCCAACCAGCACTGTCCGGCTGCAGATCCAAGTTCTGTGCTCTGGAGCACCCGCCTCCCCGATACCAGGGAAGAGCCGCCCCTGGCAGACGCCTCATGTTCACAGCCCTCAAAAACTGCAGAGAAGAGCTCCCAAGCCCTGGGCGCTCCTCGCCGTCACTTCTTGACCTGTAGTGTGAGCATCAAGCACTCTCTGGGGCACAGAACAGGGCAGGGGAAAGAACGCTGCTGGAGAGACAGGACCCTCCAGGAAAGCTGCCCCTCCCTCCGTCTGTCTTTCACGTCCAGCACACCGTTCATTCATCCAAAAGCAAAACTGATAGGGAAGACAGACAGAAAGAAGTCCAGGAAGAGGACAGAGAAGTGGCCAGAGCAGTCGGAAGAGGGGAAAAAGAGGGCAGGTGGTGGAAATGCAAGGAAGAGGGGATGGCAGCAGGTCACACGAAGCTACAGGGTCAGGGGAGGTCAGATGGGCCAGTGTCCACTGCAGCGAGCAGTCAGGAGGGGGCTGGGGACTTCGCCAGAGCATGGCATGGCATGGCGGGGAGGGAAGCCACAATGAGATGGCTGGAGGAGGCAGTGAGGGCAGACGATTCTTTCAGGCAGTTTGGCGGCAAAGGGCAGAGGAGGGGGTGAGGGTGGGCTGCCTCCCTGTACACCTTCAGGCAGCACCATCCCCTTGAACTTGGGGGTGGTGGGGGTGCAGAAGGAACATTTTGTTGTTATTGTCCGTAACTGCTGGTTTCTTGGATGAGAAGGGGCTGTGTTAAGAATGGAATGAACTTAAGGTATTTAAAAATTATGGAATCCACACCATTTCCAGTTTGCCCCGGGCAATCCCAATCCCATCTACTGACCCGATATAATTACCCATCACTCCCCCTGTCTCTCCCCGAAGCAGACAATGAATAAAATGTTAATGGTAAAGAGCATATCAAGATGGAGAGGATGAAGATACAAAAGGGAAATGTCAGCTTTTCTCAAATTCTAGTTCAGCCTTCATCAGAGTCAGCTGAGGGGCCTGTTGAACAGGTCACCTCCTGGACCTGACCCCACCCCAGTCACAATCTGAACATGCGTCTCTGCACATGGAACCCAGAAATCTGCATTTTGGGGTTGGTTTGTTTTTAGCACCCTAGTTGTGATTCTTAGAGGCATCAAGTTTGAGTCCCACGGGAACAACTGATGCAGTCAGGGGACCTGGTAGGAGTTTGAAAGGAATCTGGGATGCAGGAAGAGAAATTAACTTTAGCGGCAGGAGGGGGAGGGAAGGCTGGTGGTGCAGAGAGGAAGATGCAGGCGGCAGAGGGAGAGTTGAGAGGTCTCCCACCCCGTCACCCCCACTCAGCCTCTACTCACTCCATGCAGTGGGAGCAGGAGTGAAGCTGAGGGCGGCAGGTCTAGCAAAAGGAAGAAAGTTTGCAACAGCAACTGTGGAGGAGGAAGATCAGAAATCAGGGGCCTAAAGGTTTACCAGGCCCCTTCACTCAGTCTGTGGGGGCACCAAGGCAGGGGGGAGCCCAGCCCCCTCCAGCAGCTGAGATCTAAGTTTCCCAACCTCATCACTGCTGCCTTTTGGGGCCGGGTAACTCTTCGTTGTGGGGCCGACCTATGCATTGCACGACGTTTAGGAGCATCCCTGGCCTCTACCCACTAGATGCCAATAGCACCCTCCCCCGGAGCTATGACAACAAACACCTTCTCCAGACATTGCCAAATGTTCCCCAGGGGGGGCAAACTCACCCCCAGCTGA